TCGGTTCTAACCCAGATTTGATGTGGGATCAGCAGTGAGTCATTACCCCTTTTTTCACATCTCAGTTTCCTCTAGGAAAAATGATCTGTCATTCTTTCATATCTTTATATGAAAGATGCTGTGACTCCGTTACATCAGCATCTTTTCACCAGGGAAAAGTCATGATTCAGAAAGTGCTGCTCCGCTAGTAGACCCCAGGGGTCGCTGTGGAGACACAGAGGGCTCCAGGTCCCTCTGCAAGGTGGAAGGGTCCCCACCTGCCCCTCCAGCATCACAAAGCCGAGCCTCCGGGGATGGGGGCTCCTCAGGAGCAACTTGAAGCAGGCTGGCCTCACTTGGCAACAAAGACTGCTGGACTGCTTCAGTTATAAACAATATAGTTCTTTGAGGGTTTTTCCTACTCTTTGTAAAGTAAAAGAAAGAAAAGAGGAAATCCTGAAAGGGAAGTGGCCTAAGTTAAATATAAACACAATTAGGCATTACAGTTAATACAAGCAATGATGCAATGAAAATGCAGGAATTAAAGTTTGGTCTGCTGTGTATTAATAACGGAATCACTGTGGAAGTCCAGGGGTTCAAGTCTGTCTGTCTTTGATCTCTCTCCCTCTTTCTCTCTTTCTCACACACACACACAGATCATCTTAAAAAATAAAATCCCTGAACATAAAGCCAAATACTGCTATGTGTCAGCAATTGTCAATATTTTCCTTCAGTGGGCAATTGGCCAGCAGTCCAGCAATTTGTATGCAGACAGGCATATCCATGAATAGAATCTTAGGTCACATTCCCTAAAAGTCATAATGCTCTTGGTATTCATTCTACATTCCACAATTTCACGTGGAAAATTACAGGGGAAATAGAAAAAGGAGATTGTTTGGTATTAAATATTTAACATTCATATGAAACAATTACAAAGGAAACCTCCCGGTGATGATTCAGGCTGTGTATTTTAGTTTATCTAATTCAATACGATAGAATAAACCAACACGCTTATTTACTTTTTTTGATTGCCTAGCTTGGAGAGTCCACGCTTCAGTAATGAACTGCTTATTTTCCTTGCAAAGAATATCTAAGATAATTCCTCACTTCGTTTTTCTCTGTTCTGACTAGCATCACATGACTCCTGACTAAAGTTACTGATGGGTGGGGCAACACCATTACTTAGGCTAAATGAATGGGAAGTTTTCCTGCCTCTGATTTGAGTGCCTTAAGATCATCCTAATAAAGTATATACCATACAAAACAATCCGATTGATACTCCCACTTAATTAAGATAACTTTCTGATGATCTTTCTATTCAATTCTCTCATTTTAATGTCCTTTTGATTATGAGGATATTTTTATTTTTAGGTTATTATTTTTTTAAATGGTACTTCGAGCAGAATTCAATAACCCAAATAAATACCAGAGTTACCAGGGCTTCTCGACATGGGCATTACTGACGTTTGGGGCTGGATGATTCTTCTGTGCATGTGTATGTGGGGTGGGGGGTGGTTCCCATCCTGAGCATTGTAGGATGGTTGACAACAGCCCTAGTCTCCTGCCCAGGAACAGTCCTGGCCCAACCCTCTACCCACTAAATGCCAGTAGCACCCCTCCCAGTCATGACAACCAAAAATGTCTCCAGATGTTGCCAAATGTTCCCTGAGCAGCTGTGGGGGTAAAAACCTGGCAGTTAGAACCGCATGTGCCTGATTTGCTACAATGAAAAAGCAAGAAGAAAGATGGAAAATAAAGCCTTTTATCTCTTCCATTTTTTGACTGCCCAAGCCTCTACAGATTTTAGCTGTGAATCATTTGGAATCTCACCATAGTTAATGGAATCACTCTTTCAAAATTTCTAAAGCCGTGTACCGTGCCTTTTGAACAGAGGTGCCGTGAACATCAAATGAATTGTCAAAAGGACTAGACATCCACTAATTCCCACTGGGTAAACTATCGGTAAACCTTAGCATAACTCCACTTTGAGCCTTAAACTAACAGCATGTGAAAAGATCAATACGAATAAATTCAAAACTAATCAGGCCCCTTCTTTAAATGTTGACACAGTATTATTTATATCCCATAAATACCTTCTTGACTAAAACTCATCCTAGCAGATTGGCACCCGGCCAGTTCTATTCATATTTACTGTATTTATGTAGTATACTGGGCCAAGGATAATATTTAAGACAAAATATGCCTGAGGGCATATACAATATCTCTTATATTTTTACTTTTACATCTCCACATTGCTAAAAATATTTAGTCTGAACTGTATAAAATGTCCCACAAAGGGCTATCAGCAATCTGTAATGATATATAGCTCATTGAGTATAATTAGAGCATATTTGTAATATTTGAGCTGAAGTCACTCCCTGAACGCTAATAAGTTGGTGGTAAAAAAATGAACCAGTGATCTTTCCCATGCCTTCATCTCTGGGGCTTCTGATGCTCCCTTCGCCGGTTTCACTGCAAGAAACAGCAGGCACACTCCCTCCCCACAGCCACTTCAGTGAGCTGAGTCAAAGTTAGGCACAGAAAAGTCCTCAAGAGGGAAAGTTGGTATATAAGCCAATGCTGCACTTTCAGTTTGCTCTATAAAAATATGGTGGAGTGATTTCTCCTTTTCTTCCATTTTTTTTGGAAGGGTTCACTATATTCCAGTATAACTAGAAAGTGCTGGAAAATCAGTTAACCTACTTTCTATAAAATCATCCACAGTCCCTGCACAGCAGTATCAGATCTGCAATTAATACGGTTTTCTGCTCCCAAACTTTCATATGCAACGCAGGCTCTAAGAAGCCTGGATTCTTTGTGTGAAAGCTGATGATAGTGTATTTTTTTATACTGAACTAAGTAAGAGGCTTTAATTTATTTGGTGGCTGGGGGTGGGATGGAAAAGAGAATCCATGCAACTCGTCTTAGATGCCCTCCTCTGAAATTCCAATAATCTGAAAAATTTTCTAATGCGGTGATGACCGTGATCCTGGGTGGATCATTTCTGCTCTTTAGACTGAAATATGCTGGGAAGAACAAGGAATTAACACCCTCTTGGGGAACTCGCTCTCTCCACATCTATCTAATGATTGAGGTAAGACCTTTCTGTCATAAAAAATGCTGGCAATTACAGCTTTTGCAGGTAAACACTGAAAGAATGACCGGTTGGTGTTCTATGTAACACATTGCTTGCCGGCCCCGCTGCCAGCAGAACTGAGGCACGTGCTAGAGAAAGTAAAGTGACTCAACTCCCCGTTGGGTCTCAATGTTTTGGACTAATTACAATGAGCTTTCTTTCCTAATGTCTCCTTGGCGCCACCCCAGGTAGAAAGCTTTACTTCCTGAGGGGAATAACCAGGGTGGAGTGTATTTATCATCACTGCCGTGAATGGTGCCATAATTACTAATAAAAGCCTCCTGCCTCCCGGGATCTCCAGCGTCTGCCCCTGCTCTTGAACAGGAAGATGAGAAGCTGCAGCAAAAGAAAGGTCTCCAGGAAGACTGGAGTTAGGTACATCCGCTGACATCCTGAGACCATCAAGTACAAGACATGGCAAGTCAGAAAGCTACCACTTGTCAAACTAAAAATAAATATCAAAAAATAAAAGCACCCTCCTGCAATGAGAACCTCTAGGATATAATTACCCAGATGGCTGTATTATCTATTTAGGCAAAACACAGAGATTGTGTGAAGGCAGCCAGCAAGTATATAGGGCATGGAAAGGGGAGGAGAGAAATGGGCAACCAATGAAAAGTTTACGATTTGGGATTTGGAATACGCAAAGGTTGAAGCTTTTATTTTTCCTTTTTCTTCTTCTTCCTGGTATTTAACCCTCTCAGGTATCACTAGATGCTTTTCTTCTCCCTCTCTCTCTC